TTTGGCTCAAGGCCTTTTTGTCATTTGTCAGACCCAGGAAATCAATGTAAAGGACCTTTGCGGCATGCGCCTCCTAGAGATAGGACTCAAGAGAATTCCAGGCACGTCCAACAAACTCCTACATGGTAGCGGAGCAGGTTCTTCTGAAACAGGAAGCTGTCATCAGATGGAGAGCTGCTGTAACAGGCAGGCAGATGGGACATGCAGGGAAACCGATCAACTTAGTGGCAGAACACGAGGCGTCCAGTTCTCAAGCTACAACCACAAGAATTTGCCTCAACAAGGCACATGGTGTAATTACTTCTGGAAGTGAACATTTGTTTCCGACGACCGCAGCAACCTTGCTTCCTGGAGCTCAATTCAAAAGAGAGAAACCCGCAGGCACGATGATGGATTCAACAACTAATGCCACCTCAGCCAACAAGTGCTCTTGATACCACATAGATATGACCACCTTTACATACGCCATCGTCTGAGTAGATGCATGAGGCGGGCAATCTGTTCACACAGCCGAAGACACATACGGATGTTTATTTTTGCACCAATCACATTTTTAGACAGAATTCGCGGTCTACGAACCACAGCAGTTTTCAAGTCAAAATAGCCTGCGTGATTCACCTTCAAGCAATCTTTCCTTGACGCCACATTCTTCTCATTTGTCACCCTCAAGACATCGATATAAAGGACCTTTGCTGCGTGCGCCTCCTGAGGGATAGGACTCAAGAGTATAGGCATTCCAGCGTGTATAGATTCCTCTAATAGAAGCAAAGGACCAACGTGCACCGTTTATTGTCGCACAAGGGGATAGGGGTGTTGGGTGGGGTGGTTGAAAGCGGCTTGGGTTTTGTCTCTCGAGGCCAAAGAGGAGCCCGATTTTTGTCCAGGCTTGGAAACTCGAGCGAAACCATAATTCCCATTTTGGGGGAACGCCTCACTTAGAGGAAAAGGTGCATTTTCCCACACCACGTTCGCCTGACTTCCTGGAAATTTGCGGCGTACCCAATGTGGATGTTTCAATTCCTCAAAACCAGATAGAGGCTACGAGCCCAAATGCAAACAACTGCAATGCAATCTAGCATATGTGAGAAAAATCCCAACAAACATACCAAAGAACACATCCATAGACCCGCCTTCCCCAAACACATCTACACCCCCCCCCCCCACAAAGGCACCCCCAGCAACATCTTCCAGACAATCTGACTAAATTATATAAGACATTGCGAGGGCCAGGGGCCGCAGATGGGTTTCCCCAAGGACCTCCCCAGAGACGACGTGCAAAACGCCCCAAAAAGGCTCCAAAGCCACCACAAGGCACACCCACTTCCCAGCCCTGTCCAGCGGAAAAGCAAGAAACAACACCATCGCCCCCCAAAGCGGAGAAATGAGAACCCACCCACCCCCCACAAAAAAGGCTGGTTTGGACTGGTGGTTTGGAGGCGTTCGGGTCATTCCTATTCACCCTCTAGAAGCTCAACATCGAAACCACCAATCCACCTAATGGAAACTCCAGATTGTCCTTCAAGTGATGCGGATTCCCACTTTGGGGACAATGAATCAACCAGGGGTCTTAAATCCGGGACTCGAATTCACCAAAGACACCTTCCCCACCCCCCCCCCCCCCGCAAAGACCTCCGCAGGTGCTGCCGCGAGCCCACGGAGCTTGGCGTCCACCTCCGCCTCGGCAACTCACTTGGGGTCGCTACAGGGGAAGCCAAGAAGCTTGCACAAAAGTACATTTTTGGGTCACTGGACCAAAGGGAAAGCCAGCAAAGGGTGTAACGAATGCCTGGCTGGGTGAGGTGCATGATGGGGCAACTGCAAAGGGAAGAGGAAACCATGTTTAAACCACCGACATAAGCACCCTTCCCCGGAAAAAAAATTAACAACAAATAACATAGGTGTTGTTGTCTCCCGGGGACCCCAAAATAGTGGCGCTCCTATTTTGTGGTTCCTTTGAAACCAAAAAAAAGGGGTACCCTCAAAAATATGACAGACCCACATCTTCTGGCACGTTCTCTGCAAGAAAACGGGGAAACGAGACGCTGAACTTGGCCAACCCCCAGGTGACACGGGAAATAACATGTTCGGTGAACAGTTGGGTATGTCTCTAAGTGGGGAACCTCACCAAAGAAGAGTGTGTTCCATCTGGTTTCCCTTCAACCACCCCAAAAGCTTCCCTCAAACAAAGACACACCCCGCACGGGTGTGATGTGTTTCATGATGCTTTTGGCGGACACCATGTTCTGGGGATTCATATCAAGCAACCACTCTTGCTTTCTTTCGCCTTCTTGGTCTCGTGGGTGGCGTGCTCTGCGGCCAGCTGATCCACCCGCACGCTGGCCTTGCAGGTAGCCATGTGGTTTGGGGGTGTGGTTTTAGGTGGGAAGCCCCAATCCCACAAGAAACAGGGGTTCAAATTGCATATCCACACCAAACCAGGGGGGGGGGGGTTGATATCATTTTTTGTGACATCCTCAAAGCCCGCAAACTGAAATGGTGAGGGCAAATCGCCAAGGCAACTTTGATAGCTCCTCTTATTGCACAAAGGCCCATTGGACCCAGAGATAAATCCAGGGTACAGTTTCTGTGGACCAAACAAGGGTAATTAATTCTCATTTGGTAACATACAAAAAAGGCAGCAGACAGGGAAAAGCATGTGGCGGAGTCCACAATGGCCTCCAAATCATTCACTGGAAGACTAAATGAGCATCCGGCCAAATGTGGGGTTAGTTGCGAGTAAATGTAGGTGACCCATGATTATGGGTACAAATGAAGTGGCATTCGGATGCTACACACCTGGTATCCCGTTTGGGTTCCGGTAAATTCAGGATAAAGTGAGGATGAGCTCCAGTCGATGTGCTGACGAGGACTCCGATTTCAGCGAGAAAATAAGTTTCTGGGGACATGTTCTCAGCTCTCTGTGAACCCTCTTGGAGCACCTGGTGGCGTCCAAGTTGGTCAGTAATTGGTCGCAAAAGATCGAAGGGCTCTGTCCACCTTATCCTACGAGACTGCGCGACTTGTCATTGTAACAGCTGTTTCACCGAAAATGGAACAGGCCCAGGCCTGGCTTGCGGGGCAAAATATTCTTGCAAGCCCTAAGCTCACAACACCTGTGCCCAATTGAAATCCCCGACTGTTCGCATCGGGGAACCAACCACTCGGGGGCCTGCAGGTGTCATTTGATGCGAGTCACGGAAGTCCCTCCCCAGGATATACGGGAACCCTTACACTTTCAATGCGTTAATTTCCAATAGGCAATCTGAAATAAAGGGACTTTTGATCATGGCACATGTGAATACCGATGTGCCAGTCTGGCCCAAAGACTAAAGCTGAGCACCTTGGCTTTCGCCCCCAATGCACATTTATATAGCGTCTGATTCTGGCAACCACATTTTGTGAATGCAGAGATCCATGAAATAGCACACAATTATATCAATATCTATGCAAGTATGTACACACACAATACAGGTATTTCAAGATTCGGTGGCTGGTCATAAGTCATCCCCATCTGGCTGCTCCCCAAACCTTTCCAAATTCCTCGTTCCTTGGCCCAAACCTGGGCACAAAACGTAAGTTGTGCAGTTTTTGGCCCATGTCTAGTCTACCCTATCACATCATTTTGTAGGAGACGGTGAATGTCAACCACGGTTACGTGAAAACTCCTATCAAAGAAACAACCTGCAGGTTTCCCTAAGCGGTCCACGGCCTGGTTAAACCCAAAGCAGTGACTATTTCACCTGAGCTAACTGTTGCTTCTATGGTTATGAAGGGCTTTTCTCTTGGCTTTACTACAACCCCCAATTAGACCAGGTAGAACCCCACCTTCTATTGGAACCCTGGAAAATCAACCGTCTGCAATGAATAGTTTACAATCATTCCAAAAGTTGTAAGGGTGTTTGTATAAACCTTACCAGAAAGCCTGTGAAGCCAAGTGCAGCAATCAAAAATTATACTCTTGGCTTCTTGGTTTGAAAATCTGACTCCGCCTGCGCCGCCTGGTCTGTGCACCGCTGCTCCTCCGCGAGCAACTGCTCCAGCGCGGCACGGCCTCTCAAGCCCACGGCTATCTTGGAGGGTTGCCACGATGTGTGGTACTTTCAAAGGGATCTGAAAAAGGGGTGGTGGTGCCATTGTGCAAAATCCACAAAAAAGCGCATCCAAACCGTTTTCTAGAGCACCCTGGGCTTTGTGACTTTCTTGGTATGCCCAATTGAGTATTACAGTCGGTTGACAAACGCAGCCGGGGGCCAATCTTGGAACAATCCAACACTTGAACATCAAGTCATGTCCCCCTCCAGAGTTGACTTCCCCCCTGCAGAACTGTTCCTCGAGCATTGATTTGGGCTGTTCAAAATGGAGAGTTGGCGAATCCTAATGATTCATCCCTGTTAGACAACCACTATGAGGATAGTCTTTGAACAGTCCAGAGGTGACGGGTTGGCACGGAAGGCGATCAAAAAGGCAGGAGGGCAAGAGGGAAGTGCGGCAAGCATTGCAACAACTCGCGTAAGAAGATAGAACTAAATGCAAATCTCAATCGCCAAGTGCGCGTGGGTGTTTCTCAAAATAATGGACCCCTAAGAACTTGTTTCGCTTTGGCTTCCCCGCAAGCATCAACACAGGCGATTCAGCTGTTTGACACATTCAGGACAGTCGCTTGTTTGTCTCGACGCATCTTGCTCGCTCTTTGCTGGATAGGCCGGCCGAGGCCTTTTTGGCTTCGAACCGGAGAAGCTCTGCTCGCGGCCGCAAGCTGCCATTCGGATAGGTGGGCATCATGAGCAGCGTCAATGTGGCTTGTGTCCTAAATGGGATATGGAACCCCAAACTTGACGTCAAAACCGTCTGTTTCCACGACTTCCCTTTCAACCGAAAGAGGTGCCAACTCAAAGCAAGACGGGAAGTCGGAAATCAGCGACGAAGCTGCTTAGAACCTTCTTTCATTTCTGACGAGGCGGGCCCCATGGTTTAGCCAAATGAGGCCAAGGCTCGCGGCTTCATGCAGTCCGTCCATCGCTCCGGGACAAGGTCAGTGTCCTAACCAACAGGTAGAGCAAGAAGCCCATTGGTCCAAAGAAGAGGGTGAGCAATAAGCAAGGCACCACCAGGACATGCGGTATCTTGTTCTTCTGGCTATCCAGCACTTCACCCAAGCCCACCAAGGGGTCGAAGACGCAATAGTGCAGCCACCCGGCCAAGACCTCCGCCCATGGCAGAAATTTGACAAGGGCACCAAATCTTTTCTGGGTTGATGTGAAAGGAACACATACGGGACATACTTCCCTCGAAAAAGGAAACAAGGGTCGAATTCGGAAATTGTTTTAGCTGGGACACCGCGTCGGGACTTTGGAATGCCGCCACAATGGATCCCAGGGATCCGAAATCCAGCCCTGCGTCACCAGGCGCAGGGTGCGCCAACAGGTAGGTCACCGAGACGGTGTAGAGCAGGGCATTGATCACCGGTGCCACAAGAGCGGCTGATTTCAAATATTCCCACCCGGGGGCGAAAATCAGCAGCAGCCAAGTGAGCAAGCTCACCTAGGTGACTGTCAACATCTCACGTGGAGTGGCCCAAAAAAGGTCACACTGTTTGTTCACCACTCCCAAAAACCAGAAATTCAGGGAGTGAGACAAAATGTCCATCCCATGTTCAGTGTCCTTTTCGGGAAACTAAGAATATGTGCTACCTCCAGTGACGTTGGAGACCGGGAAGAGCTCTGCAGAGCTTTTGCCGAACAGAGAGAAGGCGGCGCCTGGTTCTGCTGACGCAGCCTCTGAGAAACCCAGCGCCAGCCCCGACACCGCGAGACCCGCCACATTGCGCGCAAGCGCAGGCGGCGCGGGCGGTGCGGGCGGACCGGGAGAAGCGATGAAGCAAACAGACGCTGCCAGCGCCAGTGCCAAAAGCGAAGCACGACGACGGATGCCAAAGGCCATGGCGATTTCGCGAAATGCTGCAAGCAATTAACATGCAACCTTTTACAAACAAGTTCATGTTGAGAGAACCCGTTGTGGCGAATCGCAAAGGGACTCAAGCAAGCGTGTGGAACAAGGCTCACGTACCAGAATCTGCGGCCATTGCAGACTCCTTCTATGCATGCGTCGTCAAACTCATTCAATTCTTTGACCCCAAGTCAGACTTGAAGGGGTGGTGGATTTCCCAAAGAGAAAAGCCCGTTTGAGTTCAAGCCTTGTGGTCAGCGTGGAACCTTGTTCAGCCCGGGTCAGGACCTCAGTTGTACTCGGGAGTACCCAAGGAAGCCAGGCCGGCTATAGACCGCCCCGAATTCAACTCACATGTTGAAATGGCGTCCGGTGGGCCTCATTTGCATTGGGTCTTGCTTGAGGGTGTTCCAACTGTAGGCAATCAATTTGTGGCTGGCCAATCCTAATCCCTCATCCCCGGGGAGCCACTTGTTGGGACCAACTCCTTGCGTTAAGGATCTTGCGGATTGCCTCACCTCCTTTTGGCTTCTTTAAGGGAACCAGGTGTTAAAACCGATTTTGCCCCGGGTTCCAAGTCTCAGAATTCCGCGCCTTGGTCACAGGACTGAGTCACCTTCTGCAACTCCTGGCCCGTCGCCTCCGCGCCCTCTGTGGCCTCAAGGTTCAAACCAGACTGTCGGCCTCTCGTCTGGAGCTTGCACGGGTTTGTTCTTTCAGGGGAGCCCGCCAAAATGGTGGCGTTCCTCTTGGCTTCCTTTTGAAAACCACAAACATGGGGCACTCCCAAAGAAGCACACGCCCAGTGGAATGGGGAATACGTTGAAACCAAAGTAAAGTGGGTGATCATGCAGATGCTTACCCTTCCCACACGCAACATGACTGAAAGGCCCCTGGAAGGCAGCTTTCCTCAGGGGGCCTTCTAATGGATTCCGGGTTGGGAGGGAGGAGATGTCAACAGTTCCCCACAAGAAGCACAGCTTGCTGCACGGGGAAGCACTCCCTTGCGACACAAGTTTTTACTCACTTGCGAATTCACCTAATTTGACTCACTCGCGACTTAACCCTGACTCACTCGCGACTACGCACTTTCCAGAAGTGTGCTCGCGCGCAGGTTTCGCGCATCCACCTGACTCACTTGCGACAACATTCGCGCCACGCGTTTTTGAAGTGATGACATGCATGTTGCCATCATTTTGCCCGCCACATCACCTGACTCACTTCGACGATTCGCCACACAGTCTCTTTCTTCCTTGGGGGGGGGTTTGGGGGGGGGGGCATGATACACCCGCTCAACTGAGCCCGTGCTGCCTGCTCCTTAAACCAGGCTTTTGGGTTTGGCTGTGGGATTTAGGCTTTTGGGCTTGGCTCGCATCACTGTAGGTTTTAGGGTTCTGGGTTTGGGCTTAGGGTTTAGGCTCTTGGGTTTGGCTTACATCACTTTAGGTTTTTGGGTTTAGGCTTTAGGCTTTAGGCTTTAGGATTTTAGGCTTTTGGGCTTGGCTCGCATCACTGTAGGTTTTAGGATTCTGGGTTTGGGTTTAGGGTTTAGGCTCTTGGGTTTGGCGGGTTTAGGGTTTTAGGGTTTAGGGTGTAGGGTTGTGCCGTGCTTGTGCTCGGAACCGGGCCAAAACTTCAAGCAGATCAGGACAAGTTGTGAACACCGGGCCAAAACTACATGCGAACACCGAACAATCATTGTGTTTCCACCACACAACAAATGGCACTCACTTGCGACAAAGTTAACAACCGACGCTTTTGCCCCAAAACCACACCCAGGGTCGCCATGCCCCTCCCCCCCCTTCCACAAAAACGCTGTAATTTACGATGTTTTACGTGACCAATTATGTGCCGTCACAAGCGAGATAGTCCAGTCACAGGCGAGAAAAAACTGACGTCACAAGCGAGGCACCGCCCCAGCTTGCTGCACAGGAACCCTCTTCAAAACAGAAAGGAACGTTATCTTCCAGGAGTCTGTGCACAGAACTGATCGGATCTCCGCAACTTCCAGCGACTGTCCCTTATACTTCAACGGGTCTTGATTGAGGCTCAATTGACCAGTGCCTCTGACATTTAGGCCTTACCATGAAAACGGTCATGAGTAGACCCGCACCATAGACTACTTAATTCTAACCAAACCCTATATGAGAACACGTGGGTGTGTGCTAAACAAGGGATTCCCTGTTATACGTGGTTTCCAATATAGATGTCCCGGGGGAAAACCACACCAAAACACGCACGTTCAAAAGAACTCGCACGTGTGTCTCACCATCACCGGGCCTCCCGGTGTTCTCGCTCCAGTCGAGCCTCCAACTGGGCTGCCTGCGGGTTGGAAAGTCACACAAAATGCCATGAAGGGTTCTTACATAACCCAAGCCTCTGTTCGGTGTAGGGGAACAAGCTGTGTAAAGGGGGGCTGATGCATCCGCTGAGTTCTTAAACAGATCTACGGAATGTAAAGAAGGGATATCCGCACTGGTTGGGAGTGTCCCGAACCTCCAAGTTCTGTCTTGTCAGGTGCCCTGCTCCGCTTCCAGCCCGTGGGCTAAAGGGTCGGCCTGTCTCAAGTGCCCCGGAGACATTCATGTTCACATCCAGACGCTCATGCTGCAAGGCAACAGCCATGGTGAGGGGCTTCGAACTGTAAGCATAAATCAGCTTCCAGCCCAGTATCCCACCCACCCACCCAAAAACAGACATGCACACGGACACACACACACACACACAAGCACCACACACACGCACACACACCAAACCCGACAGACACAAAAGCACACAACCACAAACACAAAAACACAGAAACCACCGAAACACAGAAACACACAACCCCGCACCCCCGCACAAAAAACACAACCACACATTGAAACAGAAACACAGACACACAAACAGAAACACAGAAGCACACAAAAAAACACAAAACACAAAACACAAAACACAGAAACACAGACACAAACACACAACCACACAGCCACGCAACCACGCAAATACACACAAACACGCACCCACGCACCCACACAAAGACAAAAAACACAGATGCACAGAAATGCGCATACACAAGAACAGAAACACAGAAACATAGAAACACAGACACAGACACATAGAAACACAGAAACATAGAAACACACACACACACACACACACACACACACACACGCACAAGTACACAAGCACACGGCCACACGACCGCACAACCGCACAAACACAAAACCACACAACCGTGCAACCTCGCACCTGCAAACACAGAAACACCGAAAAAACGCAACCACACAGTGAAACAGAAGCACAACACTAACAAACAGAAACACAGAAACATACAAACACACAAGCGCACAAATACACACACACTAATCCTGGACCAAGGGGATTGCTGGGTCCAAGGCTGCATCCTCAAAACTAAACTCTAATTGGTGTTGTAGAGGGAAGCCACCCCTCCAAAGTAGCTGGTGTTGCCCGGATGGGGGTGGTCTTTGTGGGGCGGTGACCCTAAAGCGTCTGCATCGGATTCTTCGCGGTCACGCCACACTGCGCTTTCGGCATTTGTGTCCTTTGGAAAGAATAGATGGCTCTTGCAAATCATGAGCGAACCTACCGGTGCCATCCATTTCAACCAAACTGACCTACTGCAGGTGGACAACATCTTGTTCCAGTTGGTACGTGTTTTGTCCTATTATTCCGTATTGTTTGTAGGGGTTCATTTATCCCAAGTGGCGTCCACCCAAAGGAACCTAGTGTTCTTAGATTGCGCAGCGAAGTTGTGCCAACAACGGGGTAAGCCTGATGCACGTGTTTGGAATGGGCCATCTGACACAACCCTTCCAGAAATCGGTCGGCAAGACTCCACCGACCGGTGCCACCCAAGGTGCCGCCTGAAGGGGATACCCCGCAAGGCCCAGAGGAAACCCATCTTCAGGAGCCTCGGAGCCTCTCTTTTGGGGGTTGGCTTAAGGGAACGAGGAAAACCGTCTTTGGGCTTTTCCCCAGCTGCGCTCGAGCAGTCCTCTTCAGCTTTCTCAAGGGCGACGTCTTGCGATCCACTGGCGGCCTCGCATGGGGCAAACGCCCAAAACCCATTGGGTTCTAAGCTGGTTGTGTAGGTTCTTATGGGTGTGTCCTTTTTCGAGGGCTCCCTTTTGGGGGCTAGTTTAACCCGGCAACGAAAGAGAAACCTCACTTTGAGACAAACCCATATGGGTGTTTCATGTTTTGGGTTGAACCCCCGCCAAAAAATATGGCTTCAGTTTTCCTGTTGGCTTCCCAAACAACAGCTGCCAAAAGGGACCCTTAAAAAAGACACACCTATGCTTTTTGTTTTGCCACGAGAAAGGTCTCAAGGTTCCAAGAGAGGAGGGGCACAGGTCTGGGTTTAGGTTTAGGCAGCCTCATGTTTGCCCGAAAAAAAACAGGCTGGCTGTTCAAGCAGGGATGTACCCAAAGTGATAGTTCAAACACATCCAGAAGTCAATGGCATAGTGAAAGATCACCTATAAAGTCGGTTAATGTCAGCGCCCAAGGACAAAACTGGCCCTGCAAAGATGGCAATATTGTACTGAGGCGGCTCGACTATCCTGAATTCTAGGATCGCATGCCTAGGGAAGCTCATTGTACCTCACAGACTGTGAGCTTGCCTTGCATTTTGAAAGGAATGATTTGATGGTGCTAGCTTTGATACGAGCCACGCAATATTCATTGCACCCTCGAGTGGTTGCATTGCATGTTGGCAAGCTACCCAATTTCGCACGATGTCCTCGAATTACTGCAGAAAAACCACGGTACCCACATCGTTGCTCATATGTGTCATATGTGCTATGATCGCCTTGTGTGGCGCATCGTCATGATTCTCCCATGACGTGCCTGCAACCAACTCACCACCAACACCGCTCGTCACCCACAGCATGTAACTGCAAGAACGAGTTGGCATCTGCTTTGGATCTACCCTCATAACATACTTGCTCAGAACATGGGCTTGTCTCCAATGGGAGGCACCACCCCCCAAA